AACTGAAAACGATGAAGATATTATCTGTAGTTGCTCACTGTTACTAAATTTAAGGTTCTTGGAATTGGAACACTTGAAAGTGTTGAACTTTGCAGCAAGATCACAAGAAAGGATCAATCTGTAAGAGGACAAAGAAAAGTTGAAAAAAATATCACTAGAATAACAGATGAATTTGGTTATTGGGAATCTTATTACATCGATTGAATCATCAATGTCTTTCTTTAGGATAAAAACTAGATGAATTTGCATCCATTGATCCTTTTGTGATGGTAATTTACTTTTCAGTATGTCTGTTAACAATGTCACATCATCTATTTGGGCTTAAAAGTTGGATTTATGTTGCTGTCAGATTGTTTTAGTTTTTCTCTGTATTTTGTGTATTCTTTTTCTGTCTTTTCATCTTGTTTGTTGTTTCCATTGATGTGTTTCTTTCAGCTGTGGAGAAAAATCCAATGTACTTTGCAGGTATTCTTATTTGACATAAATTGGGACTAACAGTTTGGTGCCTCGATAAAGAGATCTACTCTGTTTTCTATTCCTGCACTCCGAAGGACTAGTGGAAGTCACATGCTACTGGTGATTTGGCCAAACATCTCAAGTGCAAGGGATCTCTTCTACACCAGTGGTCCAACTGCATATGTGGATGGAGGCCTAACCCCATCTATTTTGTTGCTCACCTGAAGCTTGATGGTTAAGGTTAGTGAATAGGGACAGACCATAACTGGGATAAGACTTGTTACAATGCTGAACAATTACTTTGGATGCTTGTAAAGCATGTAACCCCCACACTCCAACCCACTCCCTAAACTATTCAATTCTAATTTGGTGTGAAGTTTCTAAGTTTTTTGGAATGGAAGTGTTTTTTTTTCTCTTACAAATAAGCTGTTGGTGGCTGAGTACTACTCCCTCCACCCCAATTTATGTGATGTAGTGTGACTAGGAACAAAGTTAAAGAAATATGGGGAGACTTTGCAATGTTTCAAAACTACTCTTTAAAATATATGATTGTTTTTTAAAAGAAAACATTTTTGTGGACTTCTTTGCCAAATAAATGGGATTCAACATGGGTAAAATGCTAACAGTGTTATTAAATATTTGTTAAATAAGAAAAAGTGTCATTCTTTTTGGGACGGACTAAAATGGAAAGTGTGTCGAGTAACATTTAATACACTGACGATTCAAGTAATTTGGAATTTTTTGCAGGCATTGGTTTTTCAAGTATTTGTGTTTTGGCTTGGATTGCCATGTATCCCCTGATAGAGTTTTGTTTTGTTTGAAGCGGTAATGTTAACCACTCTCCGGTAATTGTATACTTGAACGGATTTGCATTGATTAGTCTCATTATGCCTGCATCTTAGTATGGTTGGTAGCTAGTCACTTTGCAAAGTGCCAATATCCCTTTTAACTATCACCACAACTTGTTCCCCACTTCCTTCATGTTTCATGTGCAATTCATAGATTGATTGCTGCATGTTTCTTTGATGGTTGATAGTAGTGTGACATGTTTTTCTGCTGACAATTATGAAAACATTACAGCCCTCCGGTGATGAAGTTTGAGTTGCACAAATACAGAAATAGTTGATTATATATTGGCCCTATGGATTTTAGAGTGAGTTTGGATGGCTTTTCTTTTCCTTGAGATAGGAATATTTTGATGCATCTTTTCCTGGTTCTTGATCTTTGTTCATTAACATAAGCTCCTGAGCACTCATTTATGCTAATGACCCACTCAAAATGCTAAATGAGCTAAAGTTTTAATTGAATGACCACTATACTTGTTTCCCCCATTAGAACCTGTAAATTTCAATCACCCTTACACTCTATGCCCTATTTGTCATGCTATTCGACTTTTCTCCCCTTCAAGTTTTTGATTATATTACTATTCCTTTGCTGCTACTTAAAATTTTATCTACGTGTATGGTTATAGAGTTATAGCTAAGGGAATGCCATCAGGGGTCGGAGCTAAAGGGGTTATCCAAACTCCCTATCGAATTATTTTATTGTGTATGGTGCTTTTCTTTGGTTTCTTCGTGTTGTTACTTTGTTTTTTTGGGTCCCTTTAGTGAAAATCCTGGCTCAATTACTAGTTGTCATTATAGCTTACATTGCAATGCATAGTAACTCGCAATGCCCATTTTAGGTCAAAATATTACTTGCTTTATTGCCTAACTTATGTCACCATGAGTGATCGTCATTTTTTGCAGGACTGAAGGTGATGATATTTGGACCACACAACATGTGGAAAACTGAACATGTGTTAAACAAATTCTCAATTGTTTATTAACCATTTCTGTGACAGTTTTGGAGATGCAAGATAGCTATGTAGAGGACGGCGTGGAAGATGGTGAAATTATTATGCACATATACTAAATAATTAATGATAAAAAGTAGGGTACCTGTCTGAGTAATTTAGGTAACTAATGTACAGATATAAATTGTTAATAAGGCATGCTTTCCTCCCCATTGTTCAACATATGATAGAGCAGTTTAATATATAGTAATAAAATTATTTAGATATTCATATAGTATTAGGGTAACTCATGATTGCAACTGGGTTTTCTACGTGAAAAAAAGAAAAGCTGTAATGTGTCCCATTTGATTAATTAATTAGGGGAGCATTAGTACTATATGATAAAACATACCTCTCCATCTCACCTGTGGCGTGACAACTTTTTGTACCCCGTTGAAGGAGGCATTATCATATGTTACTGTTTCTGGTCTTCCCCCCCACCCCAACCCCAACCCCAACCCCCAATGTGAGGATTTGTAAAAGAAAAAGAAAAGTATACCTAGCTGAAATGTAACTCTCAAAGTAGTACCATTAAAAGATGTGATGTAGTTGATGAATTTGTTCCTTTTTTTAATTAGATATTTTGGACTCAATTTCTGAAAATGGATTTTTTTTTTGGTAGGGAATGTTTCCTCTGAATGGAGTCCTAAACGGTTCGAATTTAAATTAATTAAATTTTAATGAGGATATCAGAAAATAAAAATAAAAACAAAAACTCTAAAAGTAGCCTTGAAAGAAACAAAAAGGAAAAACGAAAGGTGAATATTCTGTCTTTTAGTTACTACTTGAATAGAGAGAGACATGGTTGTAAGGATTTATATAGTTCATCCAACTTATTTGGATTGAGACTAGTAGTTATTCTATTATTTTTATTTGTTTGTTTATTTATTTATTTATTATTATTTACTTGATATTTAGAGGAAGCTAACTACTCACGGATCAACAAGCTTGTGGTGAATTGATAAGAATTTAATTTGTGTGGGATAAATCATTTTCTACGGTAATTACCTTTTTATGTGGATGTTTTTAATTGAGTTTGATTGACAAACAACTTAATTATTTGTCCAACATTTTCATGAGCAGTAACCAAACATCTGAGATATTTTAAAATAACGTTTCGAAAAATGTAAATATTTGTAACTTTTACGACCATCAAGCCTAATATGATCATGAACATATTTTTTTTTAAAAAAAGTTTGAATTCTCCACCTCTAACAAAAAGAATGAAACAAAAAGTAGAAGAAAAATTTAGGGCCTGAACTAATTGGTTAGATTTCGACAAATACAAAATCTGTTCTAAACTTTATTGTCGGACACCAATTTCCATGATAAAAAGACTGATTGGTATCAAACTAGTAAATGCCAAAATTTTAAGTTTGGACTTCGCATGTGTACGTCACTAGCAGGACAATACAAGAAACAATCCGCGAAGACAATTTATGTGACAATCTTTCTTTTTAAATCGATCAGAAAGAATGATAAATGATTACTTTATGATTTTATCCTTCAATATCATAAATTTTGAAAGTTTGATTTCTCTTTGATCTTCGTGAGCAGTCAAACATTATGACATAAATTAGAAAATGGGAGTACTTTTTTTTTTTTTTTTAACTTGGTTACTACATTTTATACTATTTGTATTTCAATCAACTATTGTCCAAATAGTTACTTTTGAGAAGAGACAAAGCATGCCAAAATAGAAGCCATTGCGATGGTGCATACAACGCATGCTAGCCAACACATTGGCCCACTATAACATATATTTTCTTCTTCTTATTTGCCTTTGCTAATATTTTCTACTACATGCCATGTTTATTATTATGCTTTTCTCTTTTTCATGATCAATCTAATATCCCCTTTAAACCATTACAAAACATTTCCCCATTGGTCAATTTTCAATAGTCCTACCATTCTCATACATTTGTCAAATATTCTTTTCTCTTTTATTCCTTTGCATGAAATAGTTTCCTCAAATAAGAAGAAAAAAAGAAGAAGGATACTACTTTATGTTCTCCAATTCCTTTTTAAAGATGGAATCTTTGGATTTATTCTAAACGTATATGGTATATAGATCAGACGCGGAGTGCCGAGCGGGCGGAGCTATGATTTTAATTTCATCAGTTTCAAATTTTAGAACTATGACTCAAGTGTTAATAGTTGAACTCTAAACTTAATGTTTGTACATATTTGAGAAATTTCATCATACAAAAATAATATTTGAGTAAAATTACTGCGTTCGGCCTAATCAATATCCAGACTTCTCACTCTACTCCTAATGCAGATGTGACTAACTCGATCGATTGAGGGTAGCTAACTTGAGTTGCAAAACTAGAAAGGTGTGATAAATACACTAGTTTTGAGGGTCAACACAAAGTTGAAGTGAGAGTTTTTGCAAAATAATTACTTGTAATTATCTTTTACGTGACAGGAAGATGTAAAAAAGTAAACAAGAAGAAGTAGAATACCAATATGGTAAAAATATGGTTAAACACGATCGAAATTCTTAAATATCACATGCACGTATAAAGTTTTTTATTAGTTGTACTAGTTCTTAACTCCTAGCAATTCTATATATAATCAACTTCAATACGTACAATGGATGGTTCTCTTCACTCATTAATAATTTCACAAATAATAACTTTTACTTACATAATATATATAATAATAATATATATATGTATAATAGTTTCAAATGGATCATTTTTCTTCTTCATTTATCAAATAAACAAACACCAATATCACAATCCTCAGAGCTCGAACTCAAGATCTCATTCAGCTTAGGCCCTTCTCCTCTATCACTCAGCAATAGCAACATTCCCAAATCGGAACAATTGTGCTGATCATCTTCGTATAACGTTGTCTCTTCATGACTCAATTGAGACGCTACAAATTTGTCAAGTGCTCTCCAATCAGCCGTTACATTTTTGCTTCCATCTTCTTCATGATTATTATCGGAGACGAGAGACATGGAGCTAATTGGCCTTTTTAGAAGTGGTAGAGAAGGGCTTTCGAGCTGTGGAAGCTGTATGAATTGATCTGAATTTGTATAAGAAAAGTTGAGATTGTTTTCGGCTGCTTCCATTGATGTTTCTTGTTTGCATAGTAGATTATTTTGTAGCATGTTGAAATTATTATTTGAAAGAAGAGGAGGTTGTCTTGTGATGTATTCAAGAGGATCCACTATTGAGCTTACTGAAGTAGTTGCTTCATCATAGAAATAATTTGATTCCCATCCTTCAACCATATTATTAGTCTTTGTTTGTCCTGTAATTTTTTTCTTAAATGCTCTACAAACCACCCATCCTTCTTCCTGCAACAGTTCAATAAAGTAAATTACTAATTATTATAGGATTTAATAACTTGCATACTATATCAATGCATTTTAATTTGATATACTCGCTTCATCTATCTTTACTTATCCATGTTTGATCTGATACACCCCTTATTATATATCATCCCTATTAATTATACTTAGTTATCTCTTGATTTTTCAAACTGAACAAGTAAAGTTGGACAACTATTTTTAGTATATTGAACAAATAAAGATGAACGGAGAGAGTAACAAGTTATAACTTGTCTCATTTTCAAGGTTACTACTTCCATTTTTGTGGATGGGTTACCTATTATTGTAGAGAGCACACTAATTAATTCATTACTTAATTATATTCTCTAACACCTATAATTTAAATTAGTTAACCTCAATTTGTGTAAAAAAGTTAAACTCAGTTAATTATAGTAATTAGCAGTGATATGATAGTTCATCTAATTGTCTTTCTATGTGATTTCCTTTTAACTTGGTGGTTATAAGAAGGTTCGTAAAGTTTATATCTAAAGGTTTCTTTTTTTTTTTTCCTTTTTCTTTGTTTTAGTGGAGTACATATCTGAATTGTGTGGTAAAGATATAAGAAGTTAGTCAAAGGGGTTGTAGGTAATAAGATATATATATATATATATATATATATGGGAAAATCTCTTTTGGAAGAGTGAAAGCTCAATGACCTCACAAAAAGGGACTAATAAGGAAAGCACACTTGTAATTTGCTTCAAAAAGTTATGTCTTTTGACTTTTGAAGGTGTTGGAAATTATCTTTAGTATGTACTCTACTGTAGTTAGATCACTAAATAAAAGTGGTGTGCATGTAAAGAACAAAGGATTAATTCTTGTTGCTGTTTTTGACTGTGTAATCTTTTTGTTTAATGAATTGTCTTTGTAAAATTTGCTTTTCCATAAAAAAATTTAAGTTATATATATCGTTAGTATAAAATTCTTTTCACACTCAGATCCTTCAAAAAGATGTGTAGAGAGTACATTTAAACTTCTTTAAAATGTGGAAAATAAGACAGATTACTATCGTGTAAGAAAATTCTTATGAGCAATGACAGTGTATATAACTTATAGTAAGAAGAGAAGTTGAAATTGAATTAGTAAGCAAGAATATTAGATGAAGAACTTGCCTGTGGAGGACCATTCTCTTCAGATTCGAGACGATATTCATGCATGATCCAATCAGATTTCTGTCCATTAGGTGCCCTACCCTTATAGAAGACAAGTGTTTTTCTCATGCCTATAAGTTTTGATTTATTGTATACAGCTTTGTCTCTTCCTGTTGCCTTCCAAAATCCAGCCATTGTTGCCCTATTAGTTCTGGTCCCTGTTGGATACTTCTTATCCTTGTGGCTGAAGAAATACCACTCATTCTGCTCTTCATATCCGATCCGGCATTTATCTGCTCACAATCAAAAATATAATTTTAAATATTATGTAGTTGAGCTAGTATACGACTTTCTTATCTAAAAGTTTAAACTGTTAGCAAAAACCGTATATATCTTGTGATATTTACGCACTTGTTTGTTCAAGTACTCTGGTATCTTAATGTCTTTTTGTTTGAAGTTTATTGGACATAAATGAATCCAAAAGTTCATTCATTCAACTAAAGATAGATAGAAGGGAGAGCGCCGCTTAGATTCACTATTTATATTTATTGACCACTAAGGCTAGCTCAAGGGAATTCATCGATCAACTCTAGACTGAGCTTCTAGTGAAAATCCAATCGTATGGTTCATTTCAGTTTTGTTTTAGATTTGTGGTGTAAAAAACCCTAACATGAAAAAAAAAAGAAGAAGACCATACCTTGAAGATCCCATGGTTCAATTCTGTAGAGATCAATATCTCTAATAACATCAAGATCAATCTTTTGTGATGCAATTTTCTTTCTAAGATAGTATCCAACAAGTTCTTCATCTGTTGGATGAAATCGAAATCCAGGTGGAACGCATGATTCGTTTGTATCCATGATCACTCTTTTAATTTATAACTTCTGCATAAAATTCAGCACCAAAAGACAAGATCATTCAACACATTAATATATCTATATAATTACACCTCTTTTACTACAAAGTCATAGCCAATAATAACCCATGGGACATGAAACAAATAGTAATACTAGCCACCATATAAATGTAACATCTATGAAAAGCTATTTAAATGTAGCATATTATGAACCCTACAAATGTAATCATCAAACCATTTGGTGGTCAAATGAGCGCGTGTTAGACTAATATAACCTACTAAGTTACTAGTACTATTTTTTTTAAAAATATTTTTTTCTGAGGATGATATGATTTTAATTTAATGGTGGGGTTAAAGAAGAAGAGATGAAAAGGAAAGAAAAGAAAACGAAATGATGAAGCTTTGCTGTCGAGGGAGATGAAGAGTCACTCTTTTTCTCTTGGTATATTTCACGTTTCATTAGAATTGAAGGAAACGGGACAAGTGCAAGTTTGAGCTAATGATGCTGTCTTGTCTAGTTGAATGATGGATCAAAAACGGCCTCTACATATATTAGTATAATAATATAACACCGTTACCCTACAAAATGGTCATCAATTACAGGATAAACAAAAAAGTCGTCAAAATTAATTTGTTTTTGTCAAAGAAAAAAACATGTAGTAATACTTCTTTCGTTTCACTTTATATGAAGTGTTTATTATCTGGTTGGATATAAACAATTGGATGGCTTTAAACAATACTAATATTAGGCACGCTTTGGTTTGAAAGGAGAAAAAAAAGAGTAGGAGGCAAAAAGGAATAGTGTGTATTATGGGATATATTCAAGCTTGCCAAAAAAGGGCATGTAAAGAAAGGGGGGGAAAAAAAAGACGAAAAGCCACTAGCTATATAGGTAGTGTGTGAAAATTTTGAATGTTTGAAGGAAGAAAATAATGTATCATCCCAAAGAAGGAATAATCTGAACCACTTGTCTGTTTGTCTAGAATGAACTTGACACCTTTCTGACTCATTTCTTTGATAGGTGCACTCTAATACGCAGGACCATATTTTTCATTAACTTACTAATGTAAGCAATTTCGAAGAGTTAAGAGCGAAAATCTCAATGTATCGTGACTACAAAACTTGGCAGAGTCACACAACACAAGAACATAACGCTGACAATATTATTTTTTTACAAATAATGCAATCCTCACTATAGTAATCCATGATGCAAGATAGGGGATTCAATTTATACGTAAATTGATTCGGACACTACTTTAATGTTTGCATGAAATGCATATATATAAGTGATGTAAAAAGCTTTTATATATACCTGCAGTGTTTTTTTTTTTTTGTTAGCTTGATCAGTGCGAAGGTAGTAGCTAATGATTGGGTTTATGAAATGGAGAAGAAGACAGAAAAAACTGAAAGAATATTGTAAGAGAGAGCTAGACAGAGAGAAGTGAAGTTTCCACAGATTGAAATAAAAGCAAGTACTGTATTAAAAGAGAAGGAGAAGAGGGAGGAAGGGGCGGGGGGTATTAGAGGGGGTGGACCGCTTAATTGCGCATGGGTTGAAAGTTGTCCCCATTGTTGACGTCATTGCCTATCTTCCCACAGAGAAAAAAACCTCCTTAATTTCTCTTTTGATACGGAGATTAAATTATTTTGAGTTTATAGTATATGGATTGTAATTTTTTGTCAACAAAATAGAGTATAATCATGCATACCAAACGATCCTTCGTCTTTAATGAAATGAAAATAGTCACAAAAATGTTTATAACTTGTTTATTAAGATTACAATTAGTTTAAAAGGTTTTTTTTTTAAAAAAAGTTTTATTCCAAATATAACTACATAAATTAAGGTGGAGGCAATATTATTATTATTTGTAATTTAAGATTTTAATTTGGTACCATATGAAAAGCAACAAGCAATTAGCTAGGGACGGAATTTTGTAGTTAAATAGTAAAAATTTCATGCTAATCTTATTTAGCTACGAATAATCTTAAAATTCAAATAGCTAGGAGATATTTTGTAATAAATTAAATAAGAATTATCAATATATTGTGTAGCTAATTTCATGTCACAAACTCCTTATTTGAAAACCATTCGATTAATTCAAATTCATGCGCCATAATTTTATTATAAAAGAAGGGGGGTCATTTTCAGGAGATTGAGAATTTGATATGCAATTAATAATTAACCGACCAACCAATTAGTCTTCTAGTACGTAGAAACGGTATAGTCAGTGTGATGAGTTTGATTAATTTTGTAATATGTGACTTGATGAATAATTTTGCAGCCGCGTTGAGTTCACTGAATTGCTCCATAAATATTCTCATGAAAATGATGATCAAAGAGTGGTGTGGGAAAAGGGTCTGAAAAATACTCCAACTTTGAAAAGGACCTTTTACCCCCTGTACTATTTAATTGTATTTTAAAGGAATATATGTGCATACGTGGACATCATAAATATTGCATCATTTTAAATCATAATGTGTCCACGTGGGCACATATATACCTTTTAAATACACTATTAAATAGTGCAGGGGTAAACGGTCCTCCATAAAGTTTGGTATTGTAACAACAATTTCGGTCAAAGTTAGAGTATTTTTCAGACCTTTTTCCCTAAAATATATAGGTCAAGTATTAAATTTTGGACACCCTTAACAAAATTTTTGACTTGGCGATCCGTGACTCCTCACTGGTGTCACTATCAGGGGGCATTTTCTTTCCACCAAATGATTAAAATGGACAAGTATTTTGAGGAAGGAACTATAAGGAAAAAGGGAAAGCAGAGAAATAGGCTTTTGGAGAAAATCAAAGTGGCTATTACCCATTAGTCAGAATGCGTATAAGTTGTTCTACTTTCCGTAGAAGATAAACAAAGGAATACGATATCATAATGTATAATATTCCAAAAAAATCTTATGCACAGCAACAGCCTTTACTCATATATCATGAACAACTATACTCAAAGGTTGGACTCCACTTCCCATTTCCTCTTGCATAAATACTCCAAAAATAGATAAATCATACTAATTGATTTATTGTATCATTGTATGCACTGACATTATATTGCAAGAATACTTATACTATACACCAATTAAACCAAGAATTAAGGTAGAAAGTTAGTAGATAGTCCAGTGATATCTACTCATTCTTATTATTATTCACATTCTTTTTCATATGTGATTTTATAGTGCTTTACTTGAGCCAAAAGATAGATATAAAACTGCTTATAATATGAAATTACATTAAATATGTTATTATTCTACCAATAACAATCCAAAATTACAAGCAACTCAATGTTTTATTTATACTAATATATACTAGTGAATTTGATTGTGCTTCACGCGATTATAACATACCTCATTAATTTAATAAAATATTTTTTAAAATTATTGAGTGTTAAATTTTATTACAAAGAATCTTAATTTTATATTTTTTGCAATTTTAAATCATCTCTGAATATGTTTCTTATATTGGTAAAACTATTCTCTTTTCTTTTTGGATAAGAAAAAATAGTTTGATTTTTTAGGGTTGTGCCTTTAGTGAGAGTATATATACATGATTTTTTTTTGTATATATATATATATATATAAGCTTGTAATTTTTTTAAAAAAATATACTCATATAAGTATGTACATGTATATAATAAATATAAGTTTTCACAAAAATATATAACTTTTTATTTGTTTTTAAATGTGTATTATTTGTGTTATATAATTTAAGGGGGATTATTTTTTTAATATTTAAATTTATTTTAGGTAAAATATAAGGCCAAAGAAAAGGAGATGTATCTTAATTTTATGCAAGTTCCTTAGGAGAGAAAAAAAATTAGAAACATTTTCGTTTTGATATTTTATCCATTCATTATAAGTAGACATATTTTTATTTTTATCTCTACGATTTATTGTAGTAATATTTGTTTTATACGTTTTTATTGTTTTTTTTTTAATTTTTCTCTTTTCCTTCCTTTATTCTATTTATGAATAATTCTTGATTGTAAAAAATACAAAATTAGAGTACAATATATATTTATCCTTGTCAATTCTTTTACTATCTTTTTATTTTATTTTAGTTTTAGAAAGAATAAAGAGGAAAGCATAAATGGTTCTTCATATCATAGGAAACATCATTAAAAAAATTGTATTTCAATTTTTAATGTATATTTAATCTTTATTAATAGTAGCGTTTGAACCTTGATTAGTAATTAGCATATTACTGACAAAGTTACAATAACTAATTTTGTATAATGAAGGTATAAACTTGCGAAAATCCAAAAATTATAAAAATTCAAATTTAAGAAATTACATAGAAAGAACACAATGTACATACCTTTCTTATAACCATAATCATGAGAAAATACATGAAAAAAAATAATGAATCAATGCACAATTTCTTAGCTCTTCATGTCTATATTTTCTCTAGCTAACTACATAAACATCCGAGAGTCTATTTCAGAGAGTTATGCTTAAGCATGAATTTGATACTATAATAGTAACATAAGGAAACGCTACTTCAAATATGAAATAAAAAGGATAATCTTGACGAAGGGTTTCATGAAATACAAAATTATAAATTTATACTATCAAAGATGGATGAATCTTTAAAGAAAACATAAATAATTCACCGTACAATAGTATTCTTGAACCTTGGTTAGTAATTAGTATTATTCCCCACAAAGTTACAATAACTAATTGGCATCTAAATAAAAATACATGCTTACAATGATAAATTTTTTTTACTAAATTCCAAACTAAAGAAGTTAGATGGAGAGAACACAAACATACACATCGTTCTTTGAACCATAATCATAAGAAAATAGATGGAAATAAGACTACAAAATTAGTGCACAATTTTTTTTAGCTCTTATCCGACACCTCCTTTGACAAACTAATCAACATCCAAGAGACTTCTTCATCGTGTTAAGCTAAAACATGAATTTGATAGTGTGATAGTATTATACAAAAACAATGAAATACAAAGAATAATTTTGAGTTAGGATTTCATGAAACATAAAATTGTGAATTTATATAGACAAA